TTAAGGCTATCTTGTCAAATTGAGCGATAGTCTAATAATTTGGAAGAGCGCCATTTCCTTTCAGATTTCCACGCTTTTTGCTTAAATTGGCGGTTTGGTGGTTGTACCACGGTGCTAGCCTCCAATGTTTTAATATTTTCCTCTTTATAGGGGCGATAGAATCTAATGTTGTTCGTAGTGAGCCTGCAGCACTATTAACAAGATGATCAATTTGGGAGTGACTAAAGTTGTTATTGGACTCTGTTATATTCAGACATGGCATTGAATTAAACATTGATGGAATCTCCTCCTTAAATTTAGCTACAGCACTGTCAGATAGACATCTACTGTAGGAAGTTTTTTCCTAATGGTTTGTAATCTAATAATTGAAATTCAAAAGTTATTAAATAATGGTCAAATAGAAAAACATTTTGTGGAAAGACTATTAAATGTTCAATATCAATGTCATATGATAGAACGAAGTCAAGAGTGTGATTAAAACAATGAGTGGGTTTATTTACACTCCAAGCCAATTGAGGCTATTAATGAGATAAATGCATTACTAAGGCTGTCGTTGTTAACATCCACATGAAAATTCAAATCACCTACGATAATTACTTGTCTGATTTAAGGACTAAACTAGAGTATGGGCCAGGAGCGCGGTACACTATAGCAAACAGAACTGGCTGCAGTGTTTTCCAGGTCGGGTGAGAAAGACTAAGAACAAGGCTTTCAAATGAGTTATAATTTAGTTTAGGTTTAGGGTCAATGAAAAGGCTCAAATCATATATGGCTGCTACTCCACCTCCTCGGCCGATGCCTCGAGGAATGTGAGTATTAATATGACTGGGGGGGTGGATTCATTTAGGCTAACATACTCTTCGTGGCACAGCCAGGTCTCAGTAAGACAAAGTAAATCAATATCATAATCTGATATAAATGCATTCACTAGAACAGCAGAGACTTGATATTTAACAGCCCACATTTCATTCTTTTATTTTGTGCTACTGAGGAGTTAATTAAAATTTTTATTAGGTTTTTATGTTTAATTCCTCTTTTTATTTCTTTAAATAATTTAGGTGGTTGGGGGACAGACACAGTCTCTATGGGGTTTTGGGTGGGTGACTGTTTTCATGGAAGTGCAGAGTGTGTAAGACAGCAGCTCTGCTTCCTGGTCCCAACTCTGGATTGTCAGGTTTTAGAAATAAACTTTGTCATATTCCTAGATAAGAGAGCCGCTCCGTCCAAAGCGGGATGGATGCCATCTCTCTTAATCAGACCAGGTTTTCTCCAAAAAGACTGCCAGTTATCTATGAAGCCCACATTGTTTTCTGGACACCATCTCGACAGCCAGCGGTGGAATGACATAACATGCGGCTATACATGTCATCAGTATGAGTATGACATTGTTTTTGCATATCTACACACCGACGATTTTTGTGACCTCCGATTGGCGTAATTGGGTGTCATTACCGCCGACGTGAATAACTATTTTACTATATTTACGTTTATCTTTAGCCAGCAGTTTTAAATATGATTTGATGTCGCCCGCTCTGGCTCCAGGGATACATTTAACTATGGCCGCTGGCTCCGCTAAATTCATGTTCCTAACTATGGAGCTGCCAATAACCAGAGTTGGTTCCTCAGCGGGTGTGTCGCTGAGTGGGGAAAATATATTGGAAACATGAACCTGTCGGTGGTGAACCGTGGGCTTCTGCTGTCTGGGGCTATGCCTCCTTTGGACAGTCACCCAGCCTCCATGGCTTCTTGGCTGCTCGGGAACTACCAGTCGACAGCTAGCAGAAGCTACCTTGGGTCGGCCCGCATCGACTACTGGGGGCTGGCTAACTATAGTGGCTAAAGATATCTCTGTGGTGTGGTGCCGTGCCTCTTGTTCACTGAGCCTTGCCTCCAGCGCAGTAAATAAACTATACTTAATACCATTATCGCTAAAGGAGGCAGATGAATAGCTAAACATCTGACACACTGAGCAAGACAGAGCAGAGGGAGAGGGAGAAGTCATCACTTAATATTAATGCTAATTCAATTTAATTCAATTTTATTTGTATAGCGCCAATTCAAGTTTTCTCAGGACACTTTTCAAATAGAGCAGGTCTAGACCAAACTCCTTATAACATTATTTATAGAGTTGCAACAGTACCACCATGAGCAAGGACTTGGCGAATGCTAATGAAGCTAGCGTGTGAAAAATGAACGAAAAGTCGCTAAAAGAAGGAAGTAGCTCCTTAGATAGAACTAGTCTACATTTAAATGTTAAGCAGGTAAATAACCGCTGTAACAAGTAAAACAGTAACTTTTTAGCATTCACTGGACAGAGCGAACGTTACAGCAGAAAACACTGTACACAGCAGGTAGGAAATGACTCAGTACACTTACCGTTGCACGTCACGAACATAATAGCATAGTTGTTGCTATTGTTGTTGCTGTGCACCTTTGTCTATGTCTCTCTCCTTCTCTCTTTACCACCAATCCCCTCTACCTCTCTACCACCATCTATCTCTCATACTGTATTTTTCCAAAATAAAACTTTTCCGGGTTCACAATGGGGCATTATTGGTTAATAAAAGTCATGACATAATTACTTTGATGCTTTGATGCATGCCCTAAAAGCCCCCGAATGCCCCAAATACGTTGGTATTTCCAAAACAACTGCATAACTGTAATAATATAATATGATAATTTAATATTATCTTATATAATTCCGACCATAAAAGCTCAAAGGGAACAATGGAGCGTAATAGTGAATAATCTAACCAAAATTGAATCTCTTTTCTTTCAGACCAAATAGAGTTACAGATTATATTATATTATGATATATTATGTTAGATTAGATATAGGGAGGGAGCTGTGACACTTAAAGACTTTGGACAAATAGTTTGTAGATACACACATGATTCACAGAGATGGTGGAACACATATGAACATCTGTCTTTTCCCGTGTACCACATGCTACCACACTGGGAATGCAGCATTAGTCACTGCATGCTATAAACTAATCATTCTTTGTATATCCTGTATGTCTACTGAGCAGTGTCTGCCTAATCAAAGGAGAAAAACTAGTACAGAGCTAATTTCACATATTCACTTTATGCCATGAATATTGCGCACTTTTACTGAGTGATGGCAAAGCCCATTGAACAGGACCTAACGTATTCATACACATTCACACACCGATGTACAGCATCAGGAGCAATTCTGGGTTCAGTATCTTGCTCAAGGATGCCTTCCGACTAGTGGACGACCTGCTCTTCCTCTGAGCCACTGTCCCAGTGACGATGTGATGTTTCATATACTGCCATACCAGTGCATAACAGAAAAATCTGCTGTAACTTTTCTGTGTCTTGTGCAATAGAGAATGTGAGAAATATCTCTTTTGAACACTTAAATAAAAATTAACTTTTATACATTTTATGTCAGTGTTTGTACAACTAACAAACTTTGAAAAGTAATCAGTGTTAAAGTTTTATTTTTAAGTTCAGTTTTTTTCAGTTTTTTAAAAATAGTTAACATTATGCAAAACCACCCAGCACTACAACCAACAGGCAATTAAAATTCCCATATTTTAAAGACATAATAAAAATGTAATCACATAGTCCTTATAACATTTTTTCAAATGTAATCTGGCTTGATTATAGTGATTTCATTTGTTTTTTGTTATATATATATATATATAATAGAATATAGAACAGCCCTGCATGCTGACACATTGATTTATGTCACTGGATATTTTCTAGATCTAGATGGATCTACACTATTTACGCAGATACCATGAATTTCACAAAAGACAACAGGTTTGTTCAGAATCATCATAATTCTTTTTTTAGTTGCATCATTTGGGTAATGCATTGAAAACCATGATTTGATAAAGACAATACTTTTCCCTCTCATGGTGGTCAAAGTGGTTTCCAGGTGATTTCTTTATTGTGTGTTGAATAGGTGGTGCCAGAGCATCAGGTATGAGGAAGTTAAATTATTATGAGGATTGGCCAAAAAACACTGCACATCTTGACTTGTCCTAAAAAGTCTACCCAGACCAAAAGAGTCAAAACACATCATCTACTTTAAAGAACAAAGTGAGAGAAAGCATGGCAACAGAAAATGCGACAAAGCCAGCACAAACTAAAACTTTTTGATGGTTTTGGGGAGCCCTGTCTAAAGACCATTGCAAGTAAGTCCACATTTGACATGAAGTCCCTGAGTTTGGCTGTATTTGTAAGATGATATCAAGTTGATCTTGTTACTGCTTTTATGTGGCTATTTAGTCTAAGATAAGTCAATTTTAATGCCAAAGGGGGAACCACAAGTCATATTTTCATCATAAAAAGTGCTCTTGTATTTTGTAATAGCCACCATAATATGTAATTATTGAAACGGAAATGTGTTACATACACGTAGTGAATTGTTACAAAATGTAGGTGTTACTAAATAATGAAGTGAAACTTTGTTATATAATGCAGACTTATTACACAATTTGTTGTTACTTCAGAAGAAGAAACAATTGACGACAATAACAACAACAACCTTATCACACTTCAGCAGTTACCTTGTTTGTCTGGTATTATGGTATTTTGGAAATTATATGGTTTAGTATATTGAATATTTAAGGCAAACACATACACACATACCAATCATAGGTGAAGATTGATAAATGTGGCTATTACTATAATAAAAGAGAACAAGATGTGGTAATAAATGAAAAGTTGTTTGGGAGCTGAAAGAGCCATCTCTTAGTGCTGAGCTTAGCCAAATGATCTGGCTTACTGAACGTGAGTTTGCAGGTTGTTATCTTTATCTACCTAAATTCTCAGCTCATTGACTTATCCTTCATGAATGAGTGTTCTCAGTTCACTTAGCAAGCTGAACAGAACATTCAGTCATCTTTCACTTCAGTGATTAGGACACACAGTTGAAGCTCCATTCATAGTGATTCAGTATTCTGAAAACAACTGCTGTGCCCATCACTAACATGCATATAGGGCCACATAGAGCCACACACTTACATAGTCTGTCTCTTTGTTATTTTCAGCCTCCTCATCACTCTCATCACTGCTCTCATCTGGATATAACAGAAAAAACAGTGCAGCCAATGTCAGTGTCCTGTATCTGTGTGTCTGTTCAGTAAAGTGAACACTGTAAAATCAACAGTGTACAAACGTAAATACAATAGCATATTGTTTTAAATAAAAGGTGATTTTAAACAGTCAAAAATAATGTTAAGACAAAAACAAGGAATTAGTGAAGACTAAGGATGCCTTGAAAATGTAAGCCACTCAGTTATACGAGATATGCACTTGGAATATGGACACTACATCCAAATACATTTAACAATACATTAAAAATAGGAATGCTCCATCAAATAACAAAAGAAGCTGCAATGCACTCCATCAAATATTATTAGGTTTTCTGTTATTGCTTAAAAGTGTCTTTTCTTTATATATATTACAAATACACAGATTCAAGGCTGTAACTGCTTTCAAAGGGTGCTTCTGCTACAATACCTGGAGTCACATCGATATCAGGGACAGTATGAGGTCTTCCAGGTAGGGGGAAGGTGTATGCAGACTGATCTGATGTCAGTGGTAGAGGAGTTTTAGGAAGGCACTTCCTCATCAGCTGTACAGAGGGCTTCACCAGAGACTCCAGAGCTTTACTCAACATACATGTCTGCCCAGAAACAAGCAGATAACATTTAAGCAACATCATCAGTCAATGATGGAACACAGGCTGTTAAGGTTCCTGCAGGGGAGTAGAACAAAAATTATGTAAATCAAAAGGCTTTTTTCCATTAATGGACTGAGTTTGTTCTGAATTACAAACATGCTGATTCTGATTCTGATTCAATGCTCTGTCAGCTCAGTCTCACACTTGATCAGTAACAATACAAATATTTCTTTCTGACCATTAAGGCTAGATTTATCAATTTTTAAGTGGTTGTAAATAATTAACCCATGGTTATAGGTTATATTTAGAGGTGAGACTTGTGTATAGTGAAGAACAGAATAAAAGAACAGTGATGGCACAATTCAATTCCAAAGAAATTGAGTTCAAAGTTAGCAGAAAAGTATGATGCTGTAGGTATCACTTGGGGACGTGCAGGGTTCCAGCCCTAAGCGTCCTTAATGGACACACCTGCCAGAAATAGCAAACACAGGACTTTACCTAAGGAGACTGCTGTCAATGTCCCAATAAACCAAAGCACGTAAGGTAGCTTACAGTGTTAGATACAAAAATATAACCAAGTAGTTCTTATGCCTAAACTTTTTAGTTTGACCGTGTTTAAAAATTAATTGAATATCTTTTACCAAAAATGACCATATCTGTAGCTTAGGATTTAAATATTTTGATCTCAGCATAGAAGAAGTTGGTATCCTTCACTTTTATGCAACATTAAATAAACCAGCATGTATATTTAAAAGCATTTATTTAAAATCATAATAAAGCAAAAAACAAAACACACAATATGCTATGGAAGCATATTGCATTCACTCGGAAAAAATGTTTTTTAATTATTTTCCTGTTTTACGGGGTAATCTTTTTCTGTTTTTCAAGTGATTTTTTTAGGTTTTTCGTATTCCCCCGTTTTTCTGAGTAACGGTGATTCCTGCCCGCACATACATGCTCCTTCTTCAACTATCAAGTGCCTGCGTAGAGTCGAAAAACTATCCCCCATTGTCTTAAACCCAGATCGAAGCAAAACTTAAGTGAACTATACAAGCCGGTCATGTTTGTTTCCGTTAAATCGAGCTCTCAATAAAGGAATGAATGCGTCTATTGTTTCAAATGCTCTTTAAACTCAGAAAAAAAAAATTGTCAGAAAAACCAACCAAAAAAATTAATTACTCTGAAAAACAGAAAAAAAAATTACTCCAAAAAACAAACCAAAAAATTAATTACTCAGAAAAACACAAATAATTACTCAGAAAAACAGACCAAAAAAAAAAAAAAATTTACTCAGAAAAACACAAATAATTAACAAACCAAAAAATAAATTTTCAAGGGAATGCAATACGCTTCCATAATATGCAACTAAGTTCCAAATTAATAGTTTAGTGTATTTTAATATAATAAAGTTATTATTTATAATTATATTTGATAATTGATCATTTTGATAGACAAAGTTAATTGATTGCACCTACAGTTTGGTGCCCGTTTAAACAAACAACTGAATATTATTTGGACCCAACTTGACTCAGATCCTTGGTTAGAACTGATGCAAGGAACCAAGTAAACCTGTGCAGACCCCTGAATCAAAGTAGCTGTTTACAGTATTACTTTAATTTTTAACAGGAAAAGGTGGATTTGAACTTTACCTGTGTAGTTTGATACAGCACTCTAAGGCCTCCCTGGGATATGAAAGCCTGTCTGCCTGCAGTACTGTGGGTGACCTTATGGAGGCAGAGCAGCAGTGCATAGCAGATTGATAGGGCAACATGTTGAGTATCCTTGCTGTGCCAGTCCTCGTAAAGCCGCACAAGGCCAGAAATATAACCCTTAGATACCACGGAGCAAACGTTATCCTCTGTGAGGGAGACACACAGACAAACACAGGAGAGGGAGAGAATGAAATCAGTATGTTCCACTCTTTCATCTTCTGTTGACCTATACTTTATAAATGACTGACTGGACAGAATGTGCACACAAATCCACACAGAATCCATTAATGTATGAGATTTTGATCTGAGATCTGAGATTCCAAACTATCCAATTGGATAGTCAGTCACCTGCTCTGCATCCAATCTGATCCACACAAAGCAGCTCCATAAACGCTTTCATTTTACAAAACTGAATCAACAATAACAAAAACGTCACACAGCTCTATATATTTTTCTGTGAAGACAATATGTCACTGAATTTCTCATGTAGGTTACTAGGACCCTAAACGTAGACCTGTGAAGCCTCACATGGACTTGAGACTCTCTGACCCAGTCGTATAGCCGTCACAATTTGTCCCTTGTCAAAGTCGCTCAAATCCTCAAGCTGCCCACTTTTCCTCCTTCTAACACATACATTTTAAGTACAAAATGTTCATTTTCTGCCTAATATATCCCACCCACTGACAGGTGTCATGATAACGAGATAATAAGTGTTATTCACTTCACCTGTAAGCACTCATAATGTTATGGCTGATCGGTGTAATTCTGCAGCGTATCTTTTGAATTTGCATCTGGGGGAATGTAAACAGCAGCAACAAGATAGTGATCATAATATTGTTTCTCAGGACACAAAAAGAGCAGGTCTAGACCGTACTCCTTATAAAATTATTTACAAAGACCCAACAGTAGAGGGGTTAAGAGAACGGATTCATCACATTTCATTTAAATATATTTCATTAGTCAAAATATCTAACTCAAAACAACCTCTGAAAGGTTTTCTCTGAACTCCAAATTTCAGTATGACTCTAACATTCCCAGACCATATGTATTTATGTACCTTTTTATCGGCAACTGTCGAAAAAATAAATAACTGACCCTTCCTTCAAGTCCCAGTTGAGCTTCAGTCAACATTAATAGTAGAAAATGAGAATAACCACAGATTTCTCTTCTGCACTGTAGCCAGGCTGACGGAGAGTCACAGCTCTACTGAAGCATGTATCCCTATAACCTTCAGTAGCAATGACTTCATGAGCTTCTTTAATGATAAAATGACTACTATTAGAGACAAAATTAATCACCAGCTAATTCTTAAGTAATTCTTGAGAAAGTAGCCAAACAGTTGTGTGACTTTGAACATCTTATTTGAGGATTTTCAATCAGGATTTAGAGTAAAACATAGCACAGAGACAGCAGGGGTGAAAGTTACTAATTACCTTTTAATTACATCAGACAATGGACTTGTGTTGTAAGATCTTAGTGCTGCATTTGACACCATTGACAATACTATTCTATTACAGAGACTTGAGCATCAAATTGGCATTTAAGGAACTGCACTAAGCCTGTTTAAGTCCTATATATCAGATTGTATATGTTATGATGAATCCTCCATGCACACTTAAGTTAGTCATGGAGTTCCACAAGGTTCTGTTCTTGGACCAATTCTATTTACCCTATATATGCTTCCCTTAGGCAACATTATTAGGAATCACTCCATTAACTTTAACTGTTATGCAGATGATACCCAGTTATATCTATCGATCAAGCCTGATTCAATTAATCAATTAGCTAAATTACAAGAATGCCTTAAGGACTTAAAAACCTGGTTGTCCTGCAATTTTCTAATGTTAAACTCAGACACTTGGCCCCAAACACCTCCAAAACTCATTATCTAACGATACAGTTACTCTAGATGGTATTACCTTGGCCTCCAGCACCACCGTCAGGAATCTCAGACTTATTTTTGATCAGGATATGTCCTTTAACTCCCACATATAGCAAACCTCTAGGACTGCCTTTTCCCACTTATGTAACGATGCAAAATTCTGACACATCCTGTCACAGAGAAATGCAGCAAAAGCCCATGCATTTATTAGTTATAATAGAGATTACTGCAACTTCTTATTATTAGGCTTCTGCATTAAATCCATTAAGACGCTACAGTTGATTCATAATGCTGCGGCACGAATACTGACAGGAACTAGGAAAATAGATAATATTTCTCCTGTATTAGCTTCTCTGCACTGGCTCCCTATAAAATTCAGAATAGAATTTAAAACCCTTCTTCCTCACCTAAAAAGCTCTTCATGGTCAGGCACCTTCATATCTTAAAGAGCTCATAGTACCCCACTAGAACACTGTGCTCTCTAAATGCAGGGCTACTTGTGGTTACTATACTCTCTAAAAGTAGAACAGGAGCCAGAGCCTTCAGCTACCAAGCTCCTCTACTGTGGAACCAGCTTCCAGTTTGTGTTCAGGAAGCAGACACCCTCTCCAGTTTTAAGAGTAGGCTTAAGACGTTCCTCGTTCCTTGATAAAGCTTATAGTTAGGGCTGGCTCAGGTGAGTCCTGAACCCTCCCTTAGTTATGCAGTTATAGGCCTAGACTGCCGGGGGACTTCCCATGATGCACTGAGCTCCTCTCTTCCTCTCCCTCTCTTTCTGCACACATGCATGTCCCATTAACGCATGTTACCATCTTCTGTTCTTCCCCTAGAGTTTTTGTGCTTTCTTGTTTCGCAGGTTCTCATGGATCATCCTAGTGGTGCCTGTTGCCATGGTCCTGCTTGATCCCCACTGCAATAATATCATTGTTATTATTATTATTAGTATTACTATTTTTCATCCCCTATTGTTGTAGCTCTTATCGTCGTCGTCGTCGTCATCAGCATCATTAGTAATAGTTGTCACTATCCAATAAAAGCCCCAAAAAATAATAATAATAAAAAAAAGACAACCACATTTTGAAGATGATTTAAGGAGGTATTCCACCCTAAGAGATGTTTTTGAGCAAGTGTATAAAGCAACCTCCAAGCATGAGAGAGTTTCTGCTTGGCAAGCACTGGAGAGCATACACAAATCAGAGGGAGAATCTGAAAATGTTTTCTCTATAAACCACACGTCACACAGTAAAATAAACAAACTAACCGATCAAGGCAACTCCTGAGGTAAAATCCCTGTTTGTATCAGATGAGTCTGGTCGCTTTGAAGAGAGCCATAAAAATTACCTCAGTTCCCTGATGGAATGGCCAAGTCATTCAGTTCAGTTGAGAAATTGCTCCTCTGAATCATGTCCGAGATGTTTGTACCTTTCTCTGTAATATTGTTTAAACTAGCACAGCATCTTAAAACTGGATAAAAATCTTCTGACAGCTTCTGGCACACAACCACAACACTGACGCAAAGGGGATATGACACCATTTACAGGCGACCGATGAAACGCACTGTTACCTAAATAAAATTACAGAATCCTCTGGGTTTGAAAACTGTTAGAAACATTTAGAATAATGTAAGCACACGACTCAACTACATATAGAACATAGCTCTAGTGTTTATCCACATTTAAATGTTGAAATGTTACGGTTTATAGCTTTAAACTTGTTTAGAAGGATGACAACTTTTGAGGGGGGTCAAATTTCTCTCTCTTATATTTGGGGGGCATCTGATGAGATTTAGTTATTCCATAACTGTCTTTGCTGCACATTAACCTATGAACATTATAGTTATTCTTATAAAGCCTCTTGTTGGGCTAACTTCTAGTCAGTGAAGACAGAGAAACAACAGCTAAAACAAAAAGGGAGCTGTAGACAAAGTAATTCATCATTCATCAGAACTAACATAATAGCATTAATAGCACTAACATGAATCAACTAGAAATTTGGAATAGGCACAACTTAATTGTCTAAGTGGATGAAACTGTTATCGGTGAGTCACAAAAAAACACTGGGAATGTTTTTGTAGTTTGCCAATTTTGCAGATAAGCCCAGCTTCAATATTTTTATTTCAAATTTGAACAATCAAAGCAGTGTAAATACTGCTGTTCAGAAATGTACTAAAAGCTGCTTTGGATTCAGAATGTTTAGCTATTTTTTCAGGTCCTCATTTGTTCCTGAAAAGCAAAGACGCTGCAGTGTAGTGGGTGAGATGCCAAACACAGAATAAGTGTTGTTTGATTAAATAACTACCAAAGTAGTTTTGGATCAGGTGGAAAACTAAATTTAAAATATTGGTCACCAGGAAGAAAAATACTTTAAATCTACAAATATGACTTGATATTAGTGTAATTGCTGCCTTTATGTTCAATCCAAACACTGCATTAGAGATCAAAGTGAAACACCGAGAGCAGGCTCATTTCGATGTTCTAGTTTATGAGTGAACACAGTCCCCTTGATGTTCTGTGCAAATTGGCACTTTGACATGAAGCGCAGTACAATATTGCATAAATCATAAAAAAGCTTAGAGCCTTCCAAATCTCCCACTGCCACTGGAATAGTCACTATCTAAACTGTCACCATACAAAAATATGTCATTGACTTCTGACAAGAGAAAGACTAAAGGTTTTGACCGAGAGATCATGCTACGAACTGAGGACAACCAGTGGAAAATTTTCTTCTTTTTTTTGAAGTAATTAATTATTTTTTTATTTTTTGTCTTTTAATATATATACACAGACACACACACACACACACACACACACACACACACACACTTACAGTTTTATCTATCTATTTAATTTTAATTTTAATATATTCTATTTTTTTTAACACACACACGCTTACTATTTTATTTATTTTAATTTTTAATATATTCTTTTCATTTTCCAAAACGCACACACGCTTACTATTTTATTTATTTATTTATTTTAATTTTTAATATATTATTTTCATTTTCTAACTTTCTTTCATTTTTTTATTATTATTTTATTTTTTACTAACACACACAAACAACTTTTACTGTTTTATTTACTTATTTAATGAAATGTATGAAATTGTTCTTAAGTAATTTATTTGTAGCTTTGGCAATATTGTTGTCTTACATTCATGCCAATAAAGCTGATTTGAATTTGAATTTGAGAAAATAAGGAAGCATCCCTATTTGCTCACTTTATTTTCTGAGTTGATCTGCAGGGTTTATCTGCAGCCCCCCTGGCT